ATTTTGCATGTGACAAGTGCGCGAAGAAATATGGACAACAATCAACGTTACTTTTGCATCAAAGAATAGTCCACGAGGGGCACAAAGATTATGCATGTGACAAATGCGAGAAAAAATTTGGGAGAAAAACAGATTTATTGTATCACAAAATATCAGTCCACGAAGGTCGTAAAGATTTTACATGTGACAAGTGCGCGAAGAAATATGGACGACAATCTACGTTACTTTTGCATCAAAGGATAGTCCACGAGGGGCACAAAGATTACGCATGCGACAAGCGTGAGAAAAAATTTGGACAAAAAGGGAATTTGCTTATCCACCAAAAAACAGTACACGAAAGTCGCAAAGATTATGAATGCGATAATTGCGAGAAGAAATTTGGACATAAACCGACTTTGCTTGTCCACCAAAAGGAAGTATACGAAGGTCGCAAAGATTACACATGCGACAAGTGCCAGAAAAAATTTGGACGGAAATCGTATTTGCTGTTGCACCAAAAATTAGTTCATGAAGGTCAGAAAGATTACGCATGCGTCAAGTGTAGAAAAAAATTTGGATTTCAAAGCAGTTTGAGGGTACGCCAAAAAACAGTACACCAAGGTCGCAAAGATTATTCATGTGAAAAGTGTGAGAAAAAATTTGAGGAACTAAGCTATTTCAGAAGACACCAAAGAATAGTCCATGAAGATCGCAAAGATTTCGCATGCGACAAGTGCGAAAAAAAATTTGGACGTAAAAATTATTTGCTCGTTCACATAAAAACAGTCCACGACGATCGCAAAGACTATGCATGTGACAATGCAAAAAGAAATTTGGGTTTAAATGTAATATGATAATACACCAAAGAACAGTCCACGAAAATCATTGAGAATTTGGGTACCCTTTAAATCGACATTGAAAAACAGCCACTAAAATTCTCGACGTTTCTTAAGATTACGTATGTGATGAATTTTTCTCGTGATCGAAATTATGCGCGATGGCATCCAATTTCACGTCAGATGATAAATTCCGTCTTTATGAATAATTTATTGCTTATACCAATTTTCTCGAAAATACTGTACATCTCATCAGTGGTGTAATCAAAATCTTGGATTTTCTTCTTGACAATTGTAAAAATATATAGAAACTTATATAGATGTTCATATACAAGCTTTTTTGAAATTTCATTAAAACGTGTGCTCATATCATTACTCGCCTTCGTTCGCTGTTGTGGTTATTGCTTAATTTTTTAACCTGACGACTGCTAATTGCTACTCTCCGTACATTTTTTGGCTCAACTCTCGACCAGTCAAGAACATTTTTTCACGTCTTGTTTAGAACCGGGAATGAAACGAACGCTTAGTTGACTATTGGATTTTTTATAAACTTTGATAATATGAGACCTCAAATTGATCAAACACGTCCTACTGAAAGATTTAAATAAATTTAAACAGACATTGATTATTTCCGTCAAAAGATGCGTGATTGGTAGTAACAATACTTTTTTTCTTGAAAAAACCAACGTGGAAACCATTAATTTTTTAATTTAAACCAATAAGTGTTTTTTATATTCTATTGTAATTATGCTTCGATTTTGCCAACCGCAATTAAGTAAGCGGCAAATAATAATTTTTGTGGGGGCAACGCTTTGTTTATCCGCACTTGCATCGGTGTAATATACCGCTTTTATATCCTTGCTCTTTGTTGGCCGTGCTCAACGTGCCTCGATAAATCGCCTATATAAATGCAGTTTGGAAAATCGAGCAGCCACTTGGTAGGTGCCAAATATTCCACATCGGTCGAGGACGCTGTCTTAATCTCTAATGCACACACGTGCTTATACATTACGTACACCGATTGCCCTGATAAAAAAACGAGCTCGTGATCTACCTGGCATGCCGTCCAGCGCGTCTCGCATGCAGCACTTCTCTCTCACTCACTTTTTTTTCGCGCCTACGCTTTTGGAATGAAAACAAAAGCTCAGTCGAGCTTAGCCCGTGATCGTGTATACCTATATACGGACTCGGACTCGGACGACGATTATGCAGCTTGCAGTTGTAAATACACTCACACGACGTACAGCGTACATAAGCGAACGAAACCTTTGTTTTTATTCTACTTAACACAGACACGCGCGCGCGCGCGCGTATTGTCACATTTTTTTTTCGCCCGACTTGGAAAAATACTAGCTGCAACTATTTGGGGTCGTCCGCAGTGCTGCAGCAGCGGTAGCTCGTCGTTGTAGCGCGAGTTGCAGCAGTGTTTATGCGCTATATACTTGCTACAACGTATACGTGCCACATGTAAAGATGCATATAGAGCCGCTGCAGCCGGCGCGAGCGCGCGCTTAAAAGCCCGACTAAGGTTTCCGTATTATTAAACCAAGGCTTGATTAAAGGCCAAAGTAATACCGAGACTTGCTTTTGTATAATGCCGCGGCGCATCGGGGGCTGGAAACCGGCTTTCGTACTACTGTACTTGGGTATACGATTGAACTCGCTGCGCGACAGAGAGCGAGAAAAGTCGTTGCTCCGTTTTTCTGCCGCTGCACTCGGACTCATTGTTTCCACGCACAAGCCGCTCGAGACTTGTGTGTATAGTATGAATTGAAGGGTCAGTTGCTACGTATTATGTACACGGAGCGTCGAACGGTTAAACGTTCATCGCAGAAAATTGCTCGATCGCATGCGTGCAGTACCACGCACGGCACTGCGCATTATTGCTCCGATACTTATGTACTGTTGTTGTGCTGTTGATGCTCGATTATTTGTGCACTTACAAACGACGCGACGATCATTATCATTGCCGTGCGTCGCTGTACGAGCTGTGTATAATACATTGGGCCTGGACCGTCGTAATCGCACTGCTATACGAGCTATGTACGACGAGTACGAGAGAGTATCAAACGCTCTGCATTCGCGTCAATTGGCTCGCATTATATGTGTGTCTCTGCAGTCCGAGATGATAAGCGAGAAGACGCGCAGTATAGGTGCGTGTCAACGTTCGACCATAAAACATAAACCAACGGATATGTCTCGCACACATGCACACACATAAACATCTTAAATGTAATTACCGGCAAACGTATGTCATGCACTGCGTCATAATTTTTATTTTTCACGCTCTTTGAAGCACTCGAAAGCTGCCGCCGCCTACTGCGTCAACAACTTGCGCTAAAACGGAAATCCTCATGCGTCAAGATGGCATCCCTCTTACACTCGAGTCAAGCCACCGAAATGTATCGAGCTCGCTCGAGAGAACCCTCTCGTATATAAAGTCGCATTAAGATACTTGCGCGCGGAGCTGCCGATAATAGAGCTGCTCAGATCCGCGTTTAGAACTGGAGCAAGCGAGAGAAATCCGATATATCGAGAATCATTTATATCGCGCACTGCTCGAAAGATAGCGAGGCAGAGTTAGATAGAGAAAAAAGAATGCGTAATTCGGTCACCGATATTCGTCGAGCGAAGATAATTCAACTCGATCGTCGTAAAGGAGATCGTAGATGTTTATGGAGAATTTTGGGAACATTCGATTTTACGACCACGGTCGACTTTTGCGCTCTGGGTATAAATCATCGTTTATTAAATTCACCTTGTACCATGGAACAACGATGTTAAGGCCGCGTGCCAACGTCTAATCATAGAGCCTTGTGTATGGGTTTTTCAAAATTATACGTTGTCAGATTCTATACTTAATTCCACGCGAATAAATCGAAGATATTCCTCCTCTTTAGCGCTTTAGCAGTGACTATACTCGTTGTGTGAGGCTGTCGTGTAAAATTACGCTTAAAAAGTTGTTCCTCTCTCGTCAGCAGCACGTGTATAATAAAGTTTTGTCACTCGCCGCGGCGATGCCCATAGATATATACACACACGTATGCCGTGAAAGTATAAAAGTGGCAATTTGCCAGGCCTGCAGTACAAAAGACGTAGTAGGTAGCCGAGCGCGCCACAACGGGGTCAAGCAACCCTCTCGCTCGAATTGCGAACGCGCGCGATAATACGTGTGCACAGCAAAGTCGCTTTGCTGTTGCTGCTGCTGCTGCTGCTGCTATGTCCCGCACGTGGTTATAATACAATGCCGCATGAATGTATATATCGTATAAAGGAAAACACGTAAAGCTTGCACGACTTGCGCGAAGACTCGAGCTCTCTACTTCTCTCTCTCTCTTGAGATACACACAAGCGTTCAATAACAATTCGCGGAGACGCGGGCGACGACGACGCTGAGAAGCACGATTCAAATTTCTTCCACCTATACCATATTCGCGCGCGTGTGTAAAGCTTTTTTCATGTGTAACAGCACCGGTACGTGATGCTGCTGCTGCTACTGCTACTACATTGCGCACATCTCGTATTGCCCTGCGCCGGCGATTGCGAGCAAGCGATACGCGTGCGAACGCGTCGAGCGTATACAATAAAATGCAAACGACGCGTTATTACGCTCGATTTTTGCACTTCGCAACGGATATATACGTATCACACGTAATAATAATCACACCGATCTGGACAAAACTCATGCTACTGTATACGTTGTATAATAGGCGCGTACAAGCGCCGGCGAAGCGTCGCAATTGCGTCATATATTCGCGCGCGCCATTTCTCGAATTATTACGCAGCAATTTGAACCATCTCTCGTATACTCCATGACTTTTTTTATTCATATTTTATTATTATTATCAGTCGTATGATTCGCGCGCGAGCGTATGAAAAATTAAAAAATGTTTCGCGAATCGCGCACACGCATCTATGTACGGGTGTGTATATCAAATGCCAGTTGTATACTATATATAACAAAAATTGCACGCTCTTTGATCGCTGCACAATTCGCTAACTGCTGCACTGGCTGCGTACTACTATATATATTCTAGCTCGTCTAACGGAGCATTACGAGCTCGCGCGCGACTGAATGTATGCGCAATTTTTTCCTATTTATTTATTTGTTTGATGTACAGCAGGCGATGCATTCTTAAAAAATGCGTAACTAGCTTTATTAAGGAGAAAATTTTTTTGTTGCAGGTGATTCTCCCGAGTGCACGCCGCTGGATCGAGCCTACAAGAGCAAAGTACTCGGACATTATCCGGAGAGCGTAACATGGAATCCCTTCGACGAACACGCCGTTTGCATGGTATACCCCCACACACACACACACTTTTTATGTACTCGCCGAGTTTTCATCCCTCCGTTTTTTTTATATACGTGCGGGTAGGTATATGAGCAATTCTCCAAATGAAACGCATTTTTTGAGGTAGAATCGCGACAAATTTTTTTTTCAACCTACGTGGATACAGACCCCCGGGAAATGTTTTTGGGGGTCCTAGGAACCTGTAACCACGTAGGAACCATTGAAATTTCGATAGTGCTTATTTTTATAGCTACTTTTGTGATTTAGAGGACGAAAAATCATGTTTTCTCGTAAATACGGCTAATTACTCAATTTCTAAGTCGCTGAAAAAGTATCAAAACTCATCTAAAAAAAATAACTGACTACTGTGTTCGATAGGAAATTTTCTCAGCTTTCCAATGGTGGTATCAGATTTTCCGATAAATTGCACATTCACCGAGAAAATCACCATCACACATTGAGGGCTAAATATGTCGAAAAATTCAGTACGGAAAAAGTGAACTTTTTGGATAATTGTTGATTTTTCCTTGTGAAAATGAAATTTATCGAAAAATCTGACTACACCATGAGAAAGCCAAAGAAATTTCCTATCGAAAGCATATCTTTATTTATTTTTTCGGTGGAATTACAATGTTATACATGGGAATTTCTTTCACGTTGTTCGCTGTTTTCTGTTTCCGAGCTGATTTAGCGCGGTCGCGAGGTTTTCGGCTCGCTACAATCAAAACTAGCTCGTAATTCCACCGAAAAAATAAATAAAGATATGCTTTCGATAGGAAATTTCCTCAGCTTTCTCATGGTGTAGTCAGATTTTTCGATAAATTTCATTTTCACGAGGAAAAATCGAAATTAAACCTCAAAGATCACTTTTTCCTTACCGAGTTTTTCGAGATATTTAGCTTGGCACTTTTGATGGCGATTTTCTCGGCGAATGTGCGACTTATCGGAATATCTGATACCACCAGTGGAAAGCTGAGAAAATTTCCTATCGAACACAGTAGCCAGTTATTTTTTTTAGATGAGTTTTGATACTTTTTCAGCGACTTAGAAATTGAGTAATTAGCCGCATTTACGAGAAAACATGATTTTTCGTCCTCTAAATCACAAAAGTAGCTATAAAAATAAGCACTATTGAAATTTCAATGGTTCCTACGTGGTTACATGTTCCTAGGACCCCCAAAAACATTTCCCGGGGGTCCGTATCCGCGTAGGTTGAAAAAAAAATTTGTCGCGATTCTACCTCAAAAAATGCGTTTCATTTGGAGAATTGCTCATATATGCGCGCGCGCGCATAGCTTGGAGCAGCTCCGGGGCCATTTAATACGTACTACATACGCACAGGCGTACGCATGCACGTTGTGTGTTATACGTATCGATCAGCTGCTACTTTGCTACTGCTGGTATACGTGCGTGCATAAGTGTGTGCGTATTACGGAGTCCCGTTCAAAGCCGCACGACGCGATGACTCACCGACTTGCGCGCTGTGCGTTATATATTAGCAACGCGCTACCGCGTACTTCGTTTTTCGTAGCTCCTTATATACACCGCATGGTGTTTAATATTGATTCCAACTGCCGCGGCCCACGATGTCTATAACAAGAGGCCATTCCATTGTTCAATGTCGATAAAGCTCCGTGTATAGGCCTCCTACCTCTCTCTCTCCCCGTCTCTCGAGGGAAGGCCGACGATTGCAAGTGATTTTCCCGAAGGGATGCCTCACGGACTTGACTTTATAACGCTACGATATATTATAAGTACGCGGTTGTATACTTAGATATAGCACGTTTCTTCGTGCGTCATGTGTCTGCGCGTATGTATGTAGGAGGCCATCGATGTGTCCGAGAGACGTCCGAGCTAGCCTGCGTGTTTACGTCGTAAACGGGCCACTCCGCAATCGTTAGGCCAAGTGATGAATCGACGTCTAACGTCGTCTCTTGCCTGAAATCGCTTGAATTTTCCGCTCGTTTAAACTCAACGTAGCTCGTGCGCATATAAAAATAAGCCTGTGCGCGTAGCCGAGTCCTCGCTCCAATTCGTTAAATCGAACTTTTTTTTACTCCCCCTTTCGAATTCGATCTCTCGACTTCGAGCCCGCAGCGATGCTTATACCACTCCTCGGTATTAAATTTATTATTATATTTTTACAATTTTTTTTTCAAACTACTTTTTTTCTTCTTCGCAGCTATGCCTACCGAGCGGCTTGCGTTTTCGAACGCAAAAGCACTCGGTCGAGCCGAGCTTTCACTCCTTCGTCCTCACGAAAGAGGACGGCCACAGGACCTACGGCTTCACTCTGCTCTTCTACGAGGAGTGCCGTAATCGAAAGATATGCGCTGCCATGCAGACGCTACAGGCCATGTTCATGACCGAGCTCAGCAGTCGGCAGAACGGCGCGTCACCACAGTGAGTAATACATTATCATAATATTATAATACAGCTGGAATTTTGTAAAATGATCCAAAAAGTTTCGATAATTGACATCTATCCTGTGTCGTTCATATGATACATTGACTTTTTTGTCATAACAGCTCAGCAATTGGCTCAACGACTCAGCCAATATTCGGATCGTATCCCTAGATTTTTTGGCATATCGCGCGTGCCAGCCTAACGTCTCGTTCCCTTCGGTCGACGCCGATGATTGGCTTTATATTTATGTAAAAGATACTTCACGAAGGATGATAGCGTATACTCTGCGGGCTGTATCTGTAGCAAAAAAAAATAGCTATCTCCGCGCGCGCGCGCAATCGATATCTCGAAATAATGAAAAAATAAAGCTGCTGCAGCCGCACTAGTTTCTCTCGGTACTCGCATATAGACTCGAAGCTGCGCGATATCCATCGACCTTTCGTTTCGTTCGTCGCGACATTGACGTACGATAAAGAAAAAAAAAGTTCACACGCGTGCCAAGGCTTAATCGAGAGCGAAGTAGGAGAAAAAAAAAGGATCGAAAGATTCATTATCCAGCAGCGCGAGAGATTGATGCTCGAATGGTGCATTTGATCGTGCATGTAACTGTGCATTTTCTTTTTTTTGCAGGCAAAAACGAGGACCGGACGGCCACGTGAACACGAGGTCGCTGCCGAGGCACTTTAAAATAGCACCGCACTCGTCGTCGGCCGCACTGGCTTATTACGACTCGACCAAAGACAAACTATTAGTTACCAAATCGATATCGCTCATATGTCAACAACCCTACCTCTACGCTGCCAAAGTTTTCTTAACGAATTTATACAAGTAAGTCGGTCGCAATCGGATTATCCCTGTGATATGTACTTTTTTTTCTCTCTCTTTCCTCGTAATGACACGAATTTTCTCTCTTCCTCCGCAGATGCGTACCGCGCCATCCTGGGCCGGGCTTCAGCCTCGAGTCCTACGTGTACAATCTGCTGTACAACGTGCCGACGCCGCTGGCCGGCAAGTCGCTCAAATTCTACGTACCCAACAACGAGCCGGCGAAACCGCCCCTCGAGCTGGTGATCCATCAGCCGCTGCTGGGCCAGCAGCTGCCGCTGCTCGACTACTCGCTCAAGGATCTGTTCGTCTGGCTGGGCATCGACACGTGCATCCAGCTGTTCACCTGCGTGCTGCTGGAGAATCAGGTGCTGCTGCGCAGCTCGGACTTCAACAAGCTCATGGTCGTCGCGGAGTGCGTCGCGTCCCTCCTCTTTCCGTTCGCCTGGCAGCACGTCTACGTGCCCATACTCCCGGCGAGCCTCTATCACTTCCTCGACGCGCCCGTGCCCTTCATCATGGGTCTGCACGCCAACAACGACTCGGGTTTCCTCAATATCGCCGGCGAGGTAAGAAAATATGATATTGCAGTAACTATATCGATATGCGATGCTCGCGAGTCGTTTGATTGAACGTTATCGCTTTTTTTCGCAGGCCAATCTCTGCTACGTCGATATCGATAAGCAAACGAGCCAATTTCCCGAAGAGCTTCCCGTCTTTCCTCACAAGATGCAGTTCGTCGACGAGATTAGATCATATTTGAATAAGTACAAAGTTCCGTATCTCGAAAAGTAAGTACACGCACGCGCTATTCAATGAACCGAGTCTGTATAGCGAAATACGAAAAATGAAAAATTCGTTTTTCTTTCCAGGACTGACAATACGTTCGGAAATTATTTGAACGGTGACATCATGACAAGCAGTTTGACATTGCCCGGCTCCAGTTTTTGCTATCCCAAGAGAAAGCACTCGCTGCATGATGTGCTCGATTGGAGCAGGTCGGATTCGCAGTCCGACACGATACAGAATATCCTCGACAGTGCCAATCGAACAGGTAGAGCTTGCGTGCGGTATTATTTTGTCGATTTTTTTTTTCATTTTTCTTATTAAAGTGTCAACTTTGGATTAACTCGACGACCAATTTTTCAGACGTAGACTTGGAAGATATCGATTTGATCGAAAACTCATCTAGGAACAACAAAAAGCTCACGCCTCAGGAAGAATACAAGGAAACCCTAATTTTCAACAATGCAATCAGAGAGATCTTTTTGAATCGTTTCGTACAGATATTTTCGAGCTACGAGCACTTTGTTATATTGCCGAACCAAGACAAGGAGGAATGGATGGCCAACCGGGACAGTGTACATTTGTTCGATAAAGCAACATTCTTATCGGAGCAGCCAGCCCATCATTTACCATTTTTATCTAGATTCATCGAGACTCAAATGTTTGCATCGCTCGTTGACGCCAAAGTTTTATCCTTGTGGGACGAGCTCGATCCAAATATCCGATTGTTCGACAAAAGAATAGCACAACTTAAGTTAGTTTCGCGATGACATATTTTTAAGTATTCCTCTGTCGCAAGCTCATATGGTCGTTTTTTTTCTCTCGCAGAAAAAGAGTTGGAGAGGGTATTGTTCGATCCACTCGGTACGAGGTCTGTACGTGCATTTCAGAATCTCAATCGATTCTCGAACAAAGATTGAACAATATTGACTTTGAAGTCAACCCGCCGACAGAAGTGATACCGCATAGAGCTGCTTACTTTCGCAGTTTTCCTTTGCTCGACAACGTAGCTTTGAACAAAGAGCCAACGCAAAGGTAAAGAAGACAATCTTTTATCATTTTTCTCCATACTACTAACATGTATTAGTGTACAACATTAACAACTGACTAATCTTAATTTAACATTCTCATGCTGCTTCTGTGTAGTATGCTTCGGTAAGAACTAACACTCGATAAAAATCAATAATGAAATTTTTTTAACCCTAATACCCACGTACATTTGCTAACTTATACTTGTGTTTTTTTTCATGCAGTAGCAGAAAAGGTCAGACGCAGTGGAAATATAAAATGAAAGCCCTGGAGCAGAATGGAAAAGCACCTGTAGTACAAGAAACACAATCACCTCGACCCCAAGCTAAACTTTCAACCGACATGAGTCCTGCTCTCATCGCACAAGCCAATTGGACCTTCGTTGAAACTTTGCTCAAAGTGAGTTTTAACGCTAATTGAAATCGATTTTTACGACTTCCTGTGCTCAGCTAATGGTTTTTTATGATTTTTTTGACATTATAGGACTGCAAAGCCAAGACAAAGCGAATGTTGGTAGAAAAAATGGGATCCGAGGCAGTTGCATTAGGCCACGGTGGAGAGTCACTTTCCGACGTCGAAGAAAATACTCTAGTTGCAAGTTTGTGCGACTTGATTGAACGAGTCTGGAGCCACGGGCTTCAAAATAAGCAAGGCAAAAGTGGTTTGTGGACGCATCTTATTATGTATCAACAGATGGAGGAGTGCAATGACAGTACGAAGTCGATGGACGCAAACAATCTGTCACCAGGTACTTCTTTCTTGTCAATCATAAAGAACTAGAAACTAATGTTAACGTTTTGATCAACTAGTATTTCATTGACATACATATCATATTTTTGTACATATAATCGTTGAAAAAAAATTACTAGCTGCATATCCAAAAAATTTTAACAGCTAATGGTGTAAGATATGTCTATAATTTAACTAATTACTGTATTGTAACAATTGGATCGCAGCACTCGCTTGGTTCGTGCTTCGGAAGCGGCTTGACTGTACGTTGTTCACACGGAAAAGTTTTTACAATTCATAATGTTAAATGTGCAAATTATTATTTTTATTTTGTAGCAAATTAGCATTCATTTTATTTTTTATTATTTCTTCAAGTTCTGGTAAATTTTTTTGAGACAAAAGTTTCCATTGTACATTACTCTAAGCCTATTTTTGCACTTGCTACATATACATTGTTAAAAATACACAAATCAAACACTCGATTCATTCGTTTTCGAATCTCATATTTCACGAGTTTTCATCAACATTCAATACTAATTTTTGGTGCAGGTGTCGACAATTTTCAAAGTTTTAGCAAGTTAAATTTCGTGAATCTGAAGAAGCTTACGTCTTCCCCTGCATCGAGGATTTATTTTTTTGTTTCGCAAGCAGTGTAAATAAATGAATTACATTTCTGTTTTTATTTTATGTTACGATTAGCATCTAAAAAACCATCCAATAAGCTTTCTCGGTTGTCGGATCGTTTGGTCTCCTCGTTAAAAAACAAACACATTTACGAACTAGCTTCGTCTTATTTCAAGGAAAATATGAGTGGTAAGAATCTGCTTAAAGCAGATAAAAGTGGTTGCTCAAAATTAACATTAACTATTTACGAGTGATGTATCATTGAACTAATACTCAATCGAAAGAAAAAAATTCAACAATTTTTCAAAAAAGTCGGTTTTCATTTGTCTATACATAGAATATGGTATTAGAGTTTACGTGGACTTCGATATATTATACAAAAGAACAAAATTTGAAAACTTTTAAAAGTATTTATAGATACTCAAAAATATACTAACACACTATGCACAAAACTTTTTACTTTTATTATTTTATTTTAAGTTGTTTTTATAAATAAATGTATTGATGGTTATGGTAAATGTTTGCTGTTTGTTTTTGAATGCTTTTATTGAACATTCTATAAATCTTACATTTCTTCGTAGAAAGTTGGTAAATGTTTGATAAAATTGCTTTAAAATTTTCAGAGATTTTTCAGATCTTAAACTATATTATGCCTGATAATTATTTGATTTATAATTAACTACATTGCTTGATATTTTTTTTTCTTACTTCCATTACAACTCCATCGATATCGGCATGTTTGTCTTTGTGTGCGAAAGTTTTCTTAAATTTCCTAAAACTAATAAACCTTTTTCTTTGCTGGTTTAGATCTATCAAATCTTGCGCTAGAAACCGACGTATCTCCGAGCAGGAACTCGGAAAATCAACGGCATAAATCACCAGCGAGTACGGATCGCGAGAGACGCTCCATCGGGCCCGAACAATTGAAACCCCTACCAGATTCGTTGCTCTTCGATATCAGAAATGTGCAAGCGATGACTGACATAAAAACTCACGTCGGTTATGCTCGAGCTTGGGTCAGGCTGGCATTAGAAAAGAAACTACTGTCGAGACATCTGAAAACATTGCTCAGCAATACTGCTCTTTTAAAGTACGTTTGCATCATAATAATTTACAAAGCAAATTTCATCGAGTAAAAGAGTTTTAAAAAGAAAACATTTAATTATTTTTATGTTTAGGAGTCTTTACAAACGATCGGCTTTTCTTCGATGCGACGAGGAGAAAGAGCAATTTTTGTACCATCTATTAACACTCAATGCAGTGGATTACTTCTGTTTCACTAATAATTATCCGATGACTAAACTGCCCTACAGAGTAATTATATTTCCCAGTAGAAAAGCCAGTGCGTCTACAACTTCGGCAAACTGCTGGATAGCGATATCTGGATCTTTGGGAGAAACCAATCCAGTTAACGTTCCAAAAGGAGCACTAGAATTCGTATTCCATGTAAGTAAAATCTAATAATGAAATTCACCTGAAAATTAGATTTATTTAAGATCATCTTGCAACTATTTTAGCAAAAAAATTTGGGAGTCTTATCTACTTTGCGCATCGGTCACGATAATAGCGGTACATCGCCGAAATGGATGGTCGAGCACGTGGTCGTGCGCAACGAGGTAACGGGCCACACGTTCAAGTTTCCCTGCGGCCGATGGCTGGGCCTCGGAATCGACGACGGCTCGACCGAAAGATTACTCGTCGGTGCGATCGTGCCCAAAAGCATCGACAACGACGAACTCGTGGAAACCTGCTCGACTCCGCCACGATGCAGATCTCCCAGCATACCGCGCAGGCCGAGTATTTCACATCTCGAGCTTCAACAGATGCTTGGTATGGATTTTTTGTTTTCTTTCTCAAATATAATTTTGAGACGATGGCTGAAGCTAAATTTGGTTCATTTTTCAGGCGAGGCCGTGAATGCAATAGTCAAGTATCACTATCGTAAAGAGCTTCAAGAAGGATCGCTAACTGCCTTGTTATGCGGCGAAAGTGGTTTAGTTCCGTCCCTTGAGCAAATATTTTTATTCGGATTTAAAAATCAAAGAATATTTGGAAGAAATTTCTATGTTTGGGATTATTTTAGTAAGTTTTTTCATGTAATATAAGCAACATCAACATTGATTATGGGATTATTTAATAATCGTTTCATAATATTTTTAGTACGCATTAAAGAGAACTTTGAGATGAATTTACTAGAGGAAATGAATGATTATTCGTGGCGACTTGGAAGAGACAAAAAGTTGCAAGCTGAAAGAAACCGAAAGTTTGCTGTTTTGAAGTGTTATTGCCACCTGCTCGATCAAATTAATACTTTTAGTCAAACCCTTGGAAAAGATGGAAAGTTCCAGCTGTTTATATGTTTAGCTTTAAGGTAAGATTTTAATAATTGAGTGTTGAATCCCAAAAACAAGATTTCTAATGTTATTAATTATTTTTGATATAGGGAGCAGCTATTGCATTTAATGTTACGTCCAATGAGTGAAGCTCGAACTACAATAGAAATGTATGAAGAAATGTCATTCCTGCGGAATCCATCGCTACTTACTTTTCTGGTACAAATGCTAGAGCCTCTAGGTAGTTTTCACATAGTCCTTGAAAAAAGTTTAACTCATGGAATCGCCAGTTTAAGCTAATAATGTTAAACAAATCCAAAATATATACTAACAACGTTTAAATGTTGAATTCCGCTGTTGAAATGATTAATATTATATATTAATTGCAGACATGTATGACACTTTTGTGTATTTCTATACAAATGACCTGACGAGATACTCAAAACAATTGATAAAATGTACGGTTTTAATTTGAATTATTATAATTAATAGATGAAATTATCTATAGTCTTAAAAAACATGAACCAAATAAGCTTCTTGTAGTCTAATTTTGTCTCTTATTTTAATTATGTATCATGATTATAGTATAATGCTGTATCGCGTTGGTTATTGTGACTGATTACCAAAGATAGAGATTGATATTTTTATTTAATCATGACAGTTATGTGATTTTCAGTTGCATAATCAATGTGAATTAAATTTAGGGAATTGTCTGAATCCTAGTATTGTTATAAAAAAAATTCTAACATAAATAGTTGTGCCAGAATATACATGTATATGTGCTGAAGTAATTTTTACTGTAAATATAATAATTTTCAATTGTCTTTTTATTTACAAATTATTATAATTGAAATGAGTCGATTTATTTGTTATGTAATTGACTAAGTTGTTTATAAAACTATAATCATTTTTTGTTTTCTAAAATTTAAACCATGAATTGCACGTCGATTATTTGAATGTTCTTCACTTCGAGATTTATAATTTGAATGAAAGTAAAAAAATTTATTATTGTATTTGTACATAAAAATACGCCAAAAGTCATATTATAATATTGGTAATAATTGTTTGAATATCACACAAATTTATATGTGCTAATGTGCTTCACTTATTAATTCGTTATCAATTGACCAAAAATAACATTTCTGAATTCTTAATACCGTTTATTCATTGAGACAAGTTCTCTTATCTTCACAATGGTCTTTCATAATGAAGTACTAGGAATTTTAAAAATCATGGGATTTTTACAAAGCACACATAGAGTGAATAAGTTTTTAATTTTAGGCAAAATGAAACTTTTATAGCATTGAAACATGATATGAATATGCGAGTAATTAAGTGCCAAAATCTTTTGCAGTTTTATTGGAGTAAAAGTTATGTTCATTTTGTGAAATTTATATATTATTTTGTAGTGTATGTGATATTAGTATATCTTTCTCCTCATTTTTTATATGTATTATGAAAATTGTGTTTAATTATCAAATTTTATTTTTACCACCATCAACTGATTTATTTGTCATAAATTAGTCTTCCTATTTGTAAAAGTACTTGAACAGTTTTTCAAGTAACATAGACTCTAATAATTTTCACAAATACTAATTTGGTGTAATAACTCATAATATTGTAAATAATATACCAAATAAAAAATTATGGCTGACTGTACAGTAGGTAAATTTACTGTATTAAAAATTGAATGACTGAAAAGATTTTGTCTTATTTCCACGTAAATTTTAATCGCCCTCAAGGTTTTGTTTTTTTTTTATGTTTTTAGCAGTTAAATTCATTAAAAAATGAACTTCGATGCACTAAAGGCGACGTGTGTCCATATGTGTCAAGTATTGGACCAATTGAAATAATTTAAATTATGGGAGGAAATTCAATTGCAATAAATTATGTTTTCATAAAGATCATTTTTATTTTCGAAAAATTTTCAACACTTCAAAATCTAATATGCAAACATGCTTGCATTGAATATTAAGGTAATATTAAGCATAGTATCTTATAAGTATCCCTAAAAAACTTTAACGATACGAAAAGATTGGGCTATTTTACATTAAATGGATTAGAACAGCCTTTATAAATTTCAAGACGATTTATAAATAACACACTTTTGCCAAATATAAAAGCCTTGACACAGCATTAGGGCCAACTTACGTTTAAGTTTTTTTAACATTTCGGTTATAAAAATAAGGCACCATCTTGTACTACATTATTCCTGACGTATGGCTGAACTTTTCCGCCAACACGTTTACAAAGTTTAAAATTGTGCTTAATAAATTGACAGTTATTAAAAAAGAATGTAGGTGAAGACTACCCTGACAATTTCATGTGTATTTTTAGCATAGAAAAATATGTAATAAAAATATTTTATACGCCAAGGCTGCACTACTATATAATTTTTAATGAACTTGAAAAAAAGATCTTACGTTACATAAGATTATAGAAAATTTAATAACTTTTCTTGTTAGAAAATCAGGAAAAACAAGGAATTCGTATACTTTTCAATTACAGATTCTTTATTGAATTTTTTCACCATTGCATTGAATGTTAAGTACTAACCACTTTTTCAAACAATGTGACTTGACACATTAATCGCGATATTTATATTAAGAAGTAAATATCTGCTTGATATAGGTTTTTTGTCTATCTACAAACTTTATGAATACGGTAATGTTAACCAATAACTGTAAATTTAATTTTATATATTTTATGTACATTCGTATATAATAATAACACTCAATCCTTTTTATGATAAACTTTTTACTAGACTTTGTTAGAAATCTTTTAAAACATTTTCTAAGCCTGATTTAAACATTTTGTAAAAGGTCAGAAATTTTAATATCTTTAAAAATCTCAAAACGTTTAATGACGTATTAATCCAAGTAATAACAAATGAGTTTTTTCAAAATCCAGATACGCATTGTTAAACAGCGTAATAACAGGGTATTCTTTGAACTTATTGAATTCTGACCGTGAATTATTTCAACATGTTTAATTTTTGCACACATACATAATATACATTTTTCTTAACGCATTATTATGACATTCATTCCGTTATACTTTAGGAACAAAGTTTTTGAGCATCGCGAGCTCTTACAACGACGTTTCGTTCTATACAATTTTTTTAGTCATTTTTATTTTTTATGTTTTTTATTGAAAATATTCGGACGTGCTCATTCTTTAACAATATCATAAGAGTAGTGCGCTCAGTTAAACGAGAAAAGGTATTTTTATAAATTATTTATTCAAATAAGCCTTTAACTCACCATTATACACACTTAATAATATAGTCGTAGTAAAATATATTTTATTCAATAATAAATCGTTCAATTGTAACTAAGAGTAAAAACATACTTGAAACGTACTATTTACAAACGTTAGTAAATGACTCGATGTGACTAAATTTTTTCGCAAATATTTTTACGCAATCGAACGTTTAGAATTTCGCGCTTCGATGTAAGGCAATTTACATTTTTTCTCCATCTACAAACTTAATAAGTATTTAAGTATAAGTTTTATACTCCTAGACATAATAATTTATAAAGCGTATTGCATTGCCTTCCCCCAGCACGCCTCCTTAACATTTTCGTTTTTTTCTTCGAGTTTGCACGATAACTACCGCCGCTCCTACCATTTTTCCCGTTTTTACACATTTTTTTTTGGTTTTACATTTGAAGTCTTATTAACGGATGCATCGAGGCTTGGAATTTTTTTCTTAAACTTTTTCTCTTCTGTGTACTCATAAAAATGTTTAGCAAAGAACTTAAAATATACGTAATACGCTACCGACCTCAGGATCGGTGACGCGCTGAATACATTTAAAACGCTCAAAAATATCGATGAGTTACATTACTCGATGTTGATTTTCTTAGATGATAGATCAGTGTCTACAAGACACAATTTATTTTTAAATTTTTAATATTAAAACTCAATAAAAAAAATGTTAAAAACAATAGCTTAAAAGTATTGTAGCTTCTAAATAATGCATTACAAAAATGAATTTGAACTAAAAAAAATAGAAAGAAGATAAAGATTCGAAAACTTGAGAGAAAAAATAATCTAAATCATCTTAACAATTCAAACTCGAGCAAACACAATGAGTCGAGAAAAAAAAGGATAAAAAAAACGGAAAGCTCCTCCTTCGTTGACGCTGACAACGTGGGATGCGCAATTGGGCCTCGACGCTCGCAGTAATCCTCTTCATCGCTGTGGTTTCGCTCGTTCGCTGCGAAACCATTAAGTCTTAGAATCCAATGCCGATGATTGGATGCGCAATCTTAGCCTAATTTTCATTGAACGAAGGCGCGCAGCACGCAAGAATGAAAATGATGCTTTTTCTTGGGCGCGCGCCATTAGTCCGAGTGTGTGTGTGTGTGTTTGTTTGTTTGTTGCATCGGAGAGATTCTTTAGAAATGAATGTCCCTGACATCGGTCGGCGTGCCAGTTTTATTTTCATAATCCGTGATCTTATCCTGCTCCATCATGGTCGTCCCCGTCGACTCGTCCCCCACCGTCATCGTCACGTCGGACACTCGGTCGATGGTCTGATTGTGATGATACTGTTGCTGTTGCTGCTGTTGATGCTGAAGACTGTGCGTACCGGGGTGCATCAGATTGCTGACGTTACCTCCTCGAGCCATCTCCTCGATCAGCTCGTGGCAGCTTTTCAGGTATTCCTAGTGAACAAAGACGAAATACATTAAATTTTGATCAAGTAGGTTTTTACATTAAAAGTTCAATTCTGCCTTTGTCTTTCTCTCTCTCTCTTTTATGTTTTGCGAAACACATGCGCGGTAGCACCTGCTCGATCGCAGCTTTCACTCTTGGTTATTGCCCGCCGGCGTATATGTGTACACATGCAGGGCTAATAACGATACGCGCAGGCATTTATCGAAAAACGAGCGCGTGTCCGGTGCGTGCAGCTTTATAATCGGGCGCACGCGTGCGTTTAATTGTCCTTACGTGCATATGCGCGTATCATGCCCATGGTTCGCGATCGATCGATCGATTGTATTGTTTCATCGTGCGCTTACTGCACATTGCGTAAAGCACAGCAGCGGCGGCCACGTGCCCGAGTATACACGAGCCGCGAGTGACGCAGCGTCTCTCTTTACAGGAACAAAGGTTAGAGACCTCTTTGGGCTGAATTGATAAAGCACACGGGCGCGACTCGAAGACACTTTATTTTTTGTTTTACTTTTCGCTTTGAAAAAAAAGCGAGTGAGAGAGAGAGAGAAAGGTGGAGAATAAAAAGAGGAAAAGAAAAGGTGTATTATCATGGTACAAACCTGTTCGACAGCGGTGATGCGGGTAAGTTCGGCGAGTAGCCAGTTGAGGCTGTAGCCGGTCTTGTTGGTCCAATCGAGGCCGTCGAGAGCCGTTGCTATCGCTGCTGCGGCCACTATGCTCGGCGTGTACATGGAGAAGCAGTACTCTGTAACAATGAGAAAAATGGTCAAACGTTAGACACAATGTTTCTTTTACGCTTTTTTGAGCAATTGTTTTATTTTTGGTACTCTTTGGTGGAAGCTACACGACTGTCCATCAGCAACCGGTTACAACGATTCGATAATTATCATAAGAGTTTTGAGTAAGGAATGCGTGTTTATCTTTAGAGTTTACGAAAAAAAGTTTAAAAAACCGACGAAAAACAAGTTCGATTTAAAGGGCCCGGTAGTGTTAGCTTCTCTTATCTCGAGATGGCATTAGCCGATGAGGTGTCCTCTTATCTCTTCCTTTTCTTTGCATTGCTCGCGTAACTCGCGACGTATTTTTTTCTTTTTCTTACGCGATACCACACCAGTGCAAGCGCCTAACAGCTGACGACGACGAAGACGTTGGCTGCTTTTTTTTTTCAATTATGCAAAACTTTTGGCTTAACAGGTGCTGCTACTTGAGAGAATAGTCATTTTTCGCAAGAAAGGATTGATCGATAGTTTCGCACGCCGCAGACGAGAGCCGAGAAAAAAAAATAACAACATCAAGGCTAACTAGAATAATTCTGAGTATGCCGAGAGTGAATCATTGCTCGAAACTACTAAATGAAATCGAAAATTGTATAAAAATTTGTAGAGGCTGCTGCTGGGAGCGTGAGAGACGAAATCGTACATCATGCATGCGTATATGAGAGTCGCGACGTCGAGAGCTCCTCGCCTTCTATCTGTGATATATACTTTTTACATAGTCAAATATACGCACGGCGTGGATCAATCGATCATAAGAACGAGAGTACATATACGGGCGCGTTCATATGTGTATAATAACAAGCGGCAATGATCTATTTCGCAAAACATGTGCGAGAATAGAACAACACTCGCAGGCAGGCACACACATCGGAATGTTAATTTCCATCGTTTAATTGATCTTTTGATGCATAGAGATTGCGATTGCGAGCGAGGAAGATGCACGCCGACGGAGCGCGCACGTAGCAGCAGTGCTGCGGATGATTCAGCGCGATCGGCATTTGACTTTAGACCACCTCTGATGCCCCGAGAGTGGCTCCTCTACGCGCGTGTATAATAATAATTTTATTATCGAAAAGAAATAAAAATGAAAAATTACAAACATTGACGTCGCTGATTTTTTTTTTTTTTATAATGATGCTTGCACACATGTGGCGGCCGGCGGCGCGCGATCGCGCTCGGTCATGTTGTGTAAAAACGATTATGTACCTACGTGCCGTATGCGCGCCCGCGGATCAGCATAATTCAATTATTTATTCGGAATGAAACGCGAGTATAGTGGTCGTGGTCGATTCCTATTGTTGGAACGCATTAAAATTCATCGATATTTCGTTGAGCGCGCGCTAGAGAGGGACGAAGAAATGGCGATTGTGGTATTGCCGTAATCCCATATAGCTCTTTTACACCTATACACTCTAGTACTTTTTTTGTGCGTGAAAGAACTACTACGGTTTTCACGCGATGTTACACGCGGTTACGAAACCTTCGTCGTGCCTTGGATTCTACGCTGCCAGAAGAATTTCGTTATTGCCGTTGATTAAAATCAAAGATCGCGTTTATTCAAATAATATATGCCGACACGGAATATTACTCGATTTGATTGTGACTTATTTTATCACTTTGTACAATAAAAACTGTATTCTCTTGCGTTAGCTTTTCGACATTTCGGCAGAGAGCCTATCTAATATTCTGAATGGTGTATCGCGTTCAAATATATTTCAATGGAGCTTAGCCATTTCCTAACTTTACGTTTACGCAACTCGATTTATTTTTATTTTTAGTTTACTTTAAAGAAAAATAATAATTACCTCGATGGCTCAAGTCGATGAAGGTCCTCGCGTGTCGTCTGATCATCCTCGTGTCCCATCTGCGCGAATCGACTGGTAGACGTGCCAGAATGTACAAAATAAAATCGTTCGGCGTCACCGCTGATAAATCCCATTTGAGCTTCGAGACGACCAGCTGTTCCCACCTCTGTAACAATTGCAAAAGGAAAAAAAATTAAATTACTGTTTATTTTTTTCATTATCTTTAACAAACGCGTTTACAACATTTTTGCGAGTCGTTTTCTTTTCTCTTTTTTTCCATTCTGCAGTACCGAATAAAAAGTAACTGTCTTCTTGGCCTCACAAGAGCAGACAAGAAGGGCAGAAACATAAATAAAAAGAGGGTTGAAATGCTAACGAGATTCTTGATTTTCATACAATCGTCTCCTTTGCAAAACTCGTCCCTTCAACGAATGAGCGAGAGAAAGAGAGCCGCTTTCTGCGGGTAAAATTTGCAAAACTGGTTACGAAGAAGAGAGTAGCTTGGAGCAACCCCCGAGAAAGAAGAGCGACGGAGGGATGAAAAGGGCGAGACGCGCTTTTTTGAAAAGAAAAGGGGTACAACGACAACGAAGATGACGACGAAAGGAACCTAGCTACTTTGTCTGGTGAGAATTTCTTTTTCGAAAGAACTCGAACCCTGTAACATTAAATTACGCTTACCGAAGCGAATTAAAAAAAAGAAAAAAGTTCGCATAGACATACGCGCCGATGAAATTACAATTAAAAAAAGGAGCGGGAATAATTTTCCCATCACGAGCAGCCGCAAGTAGTACAATAATGCTTGATGGTAAAAAGACATTCATTAATACAATATACACGTTTGCAGGCACACTTGGGTGTCTGAGACAAGTCGAATAACGATGTGATGTTAATAAACGTTGGAAAATATTTTGCATTCTGCGCGTGTGCAGTTTCATCCGGATTCAGTTATAATTAGATCTATTATTTACGAGATAAGTAAGGATAATAAAATAAACAATTTAATTCGGCTCGATTAAGAATCCATTTATAGCGACACTTTTATCTTTCTCTCTCTCCTGGCGCCTCCTCATCTCGACGATGATGCTAACTCGCATATTTATGATGCATATGCCCGTATTCGTCCGACTTTGATATTTTACTTTGAACACGTGATATAGCATATTGAAGATGGGTCCGTGGACCACGAAAACGAATTATGTCTCACGAAGCGCGCGAATCAACTTTGAAGTTCTTCTTCTTGATGCGGGGCAAGTAATTATATAGGAGGAGGTCGGGAGGTCGAAGACAATTAATAACGTAACGCTGCGGTTATAATACAGTCAATGGGTGGATTTTGAGAAATGTTGAATGGCGGTGATATATCGTGTTGTTCCGCGATTTATGAGCATAAATTGTTTTTACTGTGAGAAACGCGCTGAGCGAGCGACGAGATATAAAGGCTTCTGACTCGTGACGATAAACAGGCTGGCTTCGTTTTTTTTACAACTTTTCAAACGAAATCACATATAAAACGATATGAAAATGAAAAAATTAGCACGTCTTAATTAGGTGGCTATTAAAAATGATAATTTCACGCTGAAATACTAGGCTATTAATAAATGTACTGCGGTCGGAGGAAATAAAAAAAACGAGTAGAAGAGGAGACGAGAGAGAAAAAAAATTAACGTCATTATTTCAAAATCGTGAAAATGACCATGAATTACGGTCTCGTAGTACTTGCACGTGCGTTACACATTTTCACTCTCTTTGGCCTCATGCAGTACGAAAGAGAGAGACTAGGTTTGCATGTACGCGCATCGGTAGTTACACTTTATTAAAAACAGGACGTATAAAACCGAGGGGGTCCCTTGCAGCACTGCCAACCAACAGAGAGGACTAGAAAATTTTTCTGCACCGACAGCCAGCCGATATATTTTTTCCTGTCTCACGTCATGCGGTTTGCTGCTGCGTCAAGGTAAGGGTATATAATAAAAATACGATAACTATTAATTTTTGTGCACAAAGTGTGATAGTAATTCGAGGTTCTGGGCTCATGTATTGTAGCGCACTCGAGAGAGAGAGAGAGCTGGCTATATCGCTCACGACTTACGAAGAATCGATTATCTCATTGTAATTATTATGAAATGCGAGATAAACGGTCGATGGCGTAAAAATACACACACTAGTTTCTTATCAGTATCGTCGATGATTCGGCACAAAAAAAGTCTCTCTTTTTTTCTCCTCGTCGCGAGGTATTTAAATTATCTTATAGCGAGCGAGACGAAAACGAAGACCGCTGCCGGCGTGCAAAGGATTAAAAAAAATATATTTTTTGGAGGTAGCGCGAGCTATAAACACTGCCTATATATTTATAATAGTGGCAGAAAAATTCCTGACCACGGACAATAGGGCCTATATAACTATGGCCGCTGCCTACGTATCGGTGCATTATACACCCGAAACTCGATTTCCGAGAATCAAGATCAGATTTAACAGCGCGAGGCGCGTGCTAATATATAAATAGGCCGAGGCTGTATTATAAAACACGCCTCACCTCGATTTTTTTCATTTTCTTTTTTTCAACTCGTCCGAAAGAAACTGCAAAAAAATTGAAATAAAAAGAGAGAGAGAAAAGGATTAGAAGCGGACGGACGTCGGCGCCTCTGAGCAAGGTGTTTAGCCGATTCAGCGCGCTGAATAAAAAAATTCGGGATTATAATGCCGAGCGGCTAGGATCCGTATCTTCTGCTCTTTATACGCACGATCGTGTGCGCGCGTTAGGAAATGAGCAATTTTATCTATCGCGATTAGGATAGCTCGTTTAATTCGCGTATTACTTACGATTCCTGCACGCGTACATGAACGATTTTAAAAAGAGCGAATATCTTTCGAGAAAAATTAAGCTTTTTTTCATAATTTTTTTTTGTATCTGGTCAAACGTTATGAACATATTAAAATTCGAACTTAGCGTGTACGCTAAGCAGACTTAACGCCGAGGTACCGAGAACGAACAAAAAAAATATGGAAAAAGGTACGTAAAATCGCTGCATGGCCTGCACGGTGCACGTGTACTCGCATGCCCCACCGAAATTCTACGCGAGTACATAAGTGAATCCACGTTGCGTCGCCGTGTGAACATAACGCGACGCGGTAGCTCGAAGTTTCGAAAAAGAAAAAAAAATTTGTTGATATTCGAAGTATTTACGCACATATGCAGCAACCGAATGAACGCAAGCAGAAGCAGCAGCAGCGAACTGCACGTGCTACTGTGATCGGTGTAACTCGAGTAGCTTTTCGTCGTACATTACATACGTACATATTTTTCATTTCGATAAACCCAAAAGTTTATCGAGAAGCTCTCGAGCAGCGACAGCGGCTTTATTTATCTTGTATCCGCACACGCGGCGCGATATTTCAAGCTCGAAGAAGTTTTGGACACTTGAAAAATCAAGCGTCTCGCGCGCCCGAGCCGGCGACATGTGTGCGATCTGTATGTATAAGTATAGGTTTATGTGTGCGTGGAAAATCTTGCCTTGCGTCTTGATACACCCCGGGAGTAGCTTTACACGCTATACTACCCTGTGTTTTGCTCCTGTGTATATATGTGTGTGCGTACGCGTGTATGTAAGATGAAGAGGCAGATGTGTGCCGCTGGATATTTCTCGGAAGGAGAGGAGGAGACGCGCGCATAGTATTCGTAGTACAATGCAGCGGCAGCAGCAGCCCCCTTTTTATATTTCAAATTCACGCGCGAGCTCGTGTATACTTACGCTGCTGCTGCGTATATATGGACGACGACGCGCGAAGCGGGGATCAATTCAATTTACCGGGTTTTTTTTGTCCTGCGTATACGAAGCTGCGACGTAGCTTTGTTCAGCCTGATGCTAGTCCACGGCGCATATTTTCAAGTCTGTGTGTGTAACAATATTCTCGTATATGGGATGAGTGTACCTTGTGCGTAAACGCAAGCTGCGACTTGCCTCAATGGGCGAAAAAGCACGAGAGAAGCATCGACGACGACTTTTTTACGCCAATATTTACACAAGAAAGATTTTGCTTCATTTCGCCTTTGTTTGCGCTTTTTTCCATATTTTTCTTATACTAATCGGGGTGAAATTGAACGAAAAAAAAAGTCTGCGTGAGTCGTCCGACCATCGCGATGACACCGAGAGTGTCGCTCGATCGTCCTGTAGAAGAAGCTCTCCGAGTGATAAAATACCACTTTTTTAAGCGATCGCGAAAAAAATCATCTCCCTCGGGAGCTCGAAACAGCTGTTTTACGTACATCGTGTACACATATGCGTTGGATATTCGCTTTATATAAACAAATACGTGTTGCTGCTGTTGCGCGGCGAGTGGAAAAATTCGCAAAGTCAATAACCCGCGACGACGTAACCGCGATTAGATGTACACACTTTTTTAATACTTAACACATATACATGCACGCACACGAGCACATGTACGAGGAGACACGACGACTCGCGCAGATAAGGCACCCGTGTAAAAAAAAACGAGAAGCCATGCCCGAGCTTGGAAAAAAAAGGAAAAAACTCGAAAATGCACCTTTACGATGCGCAAGAGTGCCAAATATGTGTAAAATATGTATTTAATTTAACAATCAGGTAGAGTTTGTTCAGGGGGCTCCGATAGCAAAAATAATTTAATATGCAGAAGTTTGATAACAGCCAAACGGCAGCAGCAGCAGCTCCAACCAAGGGTTCGTCGCAGTGTGTGCACGAGCGCGCCATGCATTTCCAATACTTGCACGCACTCAGCAGTCTATAATAATGTTCCGTACGCGCGATAAGATATCGAGTTGACTGATGCCTTACGCGTCACCTGCAGAAAGCCCCCCATACACACATGCCGCACGTATTTGTTCAGTTCTCGGGCTCTTGTGTAACGAGAAGAAAATAAAAACGGCAATTGACAATTCGATCGCACGGGAGTAAATAGATATAAAAAAAAAGTATTAAATGTGTGATATGTCACACAAGTTTGTCGCGACACTTGTGATAAGAGCATTTAACGCTCGGTAATAAACCCTTGTGTTTGTTTGTGTGTAAATTTGTGTGGGTGTTTCGAGTGTGCGCGAGGATGACCTCATTATAAAAAAAAAGCTTACTTCCGGTATTAGAAATACTCGCGGTCAGCGGCCTCTCTCTCGTACAGTGTACACACGGA